ATGAGGTAGGATTTGCTGTTTCAACCTGCATTTTGCTTGCTTTGAACTTGAAACCCTAAAGGTGTAATAACTTGGCAAAGCTTGCTCAAAATGTTTACAGATGTCAGTGTCTCTCTTTACAAATCTAAATTTTGCAGTTTCCAAAGGTATAAGTTATACATTTATACCATCCAGTCAGAAAATGCCTTCACTGAAAGGGTCATGATGGTCCTAAGGATGAGTTCAGTGATGTAGTGGAGGAATTTCCCACCCTCTACATCTACTTGTAAGGAGATGCAGATACGTTTTGCACAGTGATCCTACAGATTGAGCTGAGCAGTCAAGAATGAAATGAGTAGGAGCTAATTTGGCTGCTTAAATGAAGTAAATTTGGCTTGTACATAGCGTGTGGATAGTAATTTTAATAGCAGTTTGAGAAAGGCATCAGTCTACTGCATAATTTTGCTGCATTTCGTGCCACCTACTCTTTATCTCTGCAAGAAGACTGTCTTTAATGGCATTTGAAGAAGTGCAGAAGCATTCTTGAATGCTTTTAATATCCTCATATTAAATTTTCTTAAACAAAATCAGATTTCATATGCTGGGCAGGCCTTAACTTATTTTACCTGAAGGAACAAAACACACAATACAAGGGAACTAACTGAACTGAGACTTTGATCTAGGTCATCCCAGCAGAGAGCAAGGATGGGGGAAGAGAAGACTCATTCTGATTTTCAGAAGTTCATCTGAATTTATACACTAAAGGTAAAGATACAATTGTACTAAACAAAATACAAACAAACATTACCTAAGCCAGCTCAAGTTCCCTTTTCTTACATCTCACTCATTAATTGTTACTGTGTGTCAGCCTTACATTTGCTACTGGCAAGGCTCTAAAGATTACAGATTTACTAAAGTCTTCACTCAGACTAACTAAGTCAACAGTAGCAAAATATTTTTTTTCTATTATCAAGATGTCTTTTGTTCTGTGTTAGAATAGTCAACCTACCTACAATTTTATTTGGGAAAAAAAATCAATTAAAAACTTAGATGTCAATTATTTCAGAAATGCATTTCTATCTAATTTCTTCAACATCAAGATGGTTACAACTTAATGAAAGAACTGCTTCCTTCAAAGACTTAACTTGTTTTGTTGGTGAAGAACCTTTAAGCAGCTTGGAATTTTCTAACATTTAGAAAGTAGAATAGTAGTGTTAAAATGCTAAAACTGAATATACCAATCTACTTTATTCAAAATAAGAATTTGAGAGTTTTTATGGGGGATAACATTGGGGAAATACTTTCAGGCCTGAAGAAAGACACATTTCTATTATAAAAAAACTCTGATAATGACAGGAATCTATGATAGATTGCAAGATAAAAATCAAAAGCAATTCAATTGATAGGATTAAAAAATGATGATATTGATAAATTGACACATAAATGGTTGCAGCCTATACTAAAGGTGCAAGGGAAATAGTTTAGCACAGTATGTACTTTGGACAAGATCCTAATTTTACTGTAGAAAAATTTATTTTTAATACGAAAGGCCCATTTTCTTTCACAGAGCAAAATTATTACTGGAAATAATTTCAGTAATACAACTAAAATATTTTAATTTAAAGCACTAAATTAAATCACTACACAAAATAATTTATCAGAAAGGAAGGTACTGGAATTCTGGTGTTTGCTGGAACCAGTTGGTCCATCAGCGCTTTCATGTTTTCTAACTTACAAAAAAATGGCAGCAATGAGAAAAAAATAAAGGATTAACACATATCAGAATCTATATTCCATTACTCCTCAAGTATCATTAACTGCTATGGAAACATCACTTCAATTTGTGATACACACCTTGAAAAGGAATGATCACCACATATGAAAAAATACCACCAGGGAAAGAAATTGTTATTTGCATAAGTTTCAGTTTTGCAGAAGGATGTGCAAAACAAAACATATCAATAACCTCTTCCTAATATGAAATTAATTCTAATTTAAGTATTGAACTCCTACCTACTTTAGTGTTTAATAATAAATGTTATACTAAAATGTCTAATAGTCACTGCTGTAAGCAGTTAAACTGAGCAAAGCTTCCAACAAGATTTTTATTTTACGTCTGTAAGAGCCGAGAAAAAAAATAAATCTCACAATGCAGCAGATCCTCTCAAGAAACTTGAGGAATAGGACTAGGATCTTCCAGAAGAAATTGCAACCACCCGCAGCTGCACTGACACTGGACTGGATGGATTACCCCTGGACTTCCACCCCATATCTGCATTAGCAGTTTTGACTCCTTACTAAAACAGGAAAGGAAGCTAATGTTAATGTTCCCTTCCTCAGGGTCTTCTGGGATTCTTGGGCCAACTCTCTTTTATAAAATCCAAACTGATGTTGGAATTTTTGTTTTATTTTTAAAAATATTTTACATCTACAGACCCTTCTAAAGAATGGCTTTCTCAAACATCACAGAATCACAGAATATTTAGAGTTGGATGGGATTTCAGAACGTCATATTGTCCAACCTGCTGCTCAAAGCATAGTGAATACTGAATTCAGACTTCTTCATTCTGTAATCCATTAAAAAGTGATTCCAGCTCCTCTTTTCATGCCATTAATTTCTTTGCCCCTCCCTCTGTGCAAGTTCCTCTTCTGTCAATAGAGAACCCGGGAAGAGAAAATGTACAGTGCTAACATATGGGAAATGCATTTGGTTTATCAATAAAATAGCAGGAAAAGTGGAGGAAGTGACATAATTGGTTACTATTTATAACAATCTGGCAAAATTGGTCTCTAGGGGATGCTAAGAAAATAATGTCATCACGCGTACAAGAAAAACACATGTTGTCATAGATCAAAAGCCGAGTAAAAGAATTACAAACAGGCAAAACACAGTGTCAAGCCGGATGATTTCTCCCGAAATAGGGTAGTGAAGAATTAGGGATGCATTCCAGTACTAGCAAGAAGAGGGAATGGGTCAGCAAACAACTCTCATGGCAATGGAAATAATGAGAGAGGCCTCAGGTGAGAGATGATGATCTGAAAATTCTCTCTCTTGTTCCTTATTGAAAGTGGAGGAGGAGATAGTCTAGGAAACCAGTAACATAGAATTTTACAAAGAACTGTAGGAAGCAAAAAAAGATTATAGAAATTGCTTGCTGCACTAGGATGGCTATTGAAATCAAGAATTTAATACAGTTTAAAGAAACGTACCATTGCACAGGTAATACCTCTATTCAGATTTGCAGGTTAATTTAAAATCAGGTTGCATTTAAAATCTTTCTATTTGTTGTATTAATCCCAAAATATGTACACCGCCCCCCCCCAAAAAAAAAACAAACCAACAAGCCAACCTCCTGAAAAATACCCAAACCATGCAATTAGTTAGAAAGTGTACAGACTGCTCAGTATATGGTACATGAAGAATTTTTTTTTTATACCTTTTCCTGATGTATGTGATAGTAGTCACTGATCAGGTAGATTATTCATCTGTCTTGGTCAGCGGACATTACTTGTAGATTACTGAATTCAGAATGCCATAGAGGCTGGTAGAAAGACTTAATATTTGCCACATGTCACATCTAAGGATAATGTGTCACTGAATGAGCTACTGGTGTGAAACTCATTCCTTGAAGACAGGCATCTGTGTTACGTTAGTAACATAATTATTAAGTTCTTACCCAGAAATCAAGGACAAAATAACATGGTGTCTGAACTGCATTCTCAAATTAAATAATGAAACTTAAATAATTTAAACCCAGTATTTTAAAAAATAATTATTCAAAAATATTAATCATAATTTTTTTTGATATTTTAACACTCAATGCATGCAAAAAATACCTTTTAGCTGAAAAGATTATAGTTGTCTTCATAGCTACCTGGTAGTTAAATACACAGACTCATAATTTCTTAAAAATACTCTCAGCTGCAAGCCTTTTCAATGTTTGTGTGTGTATGCGTATGTGTGTTCCTTATCCCATGGTTGGTGCTTTTAGGTGCTGCTTTGTTATTGAGAGGAATTGTCCTATTCATCATTTTCTATCCTTCTAATTTAAGAATTTATTATGTAGGCAGGGTACAAAAATCAATAACACCTGACCGGAATGAACCAGATATTACACACAGCAAATCGCTGAAGTGAGCATTCTTCCATAACTTAAAAATTTAACTTTGAAAATAACTTTTAAAGTGCTCATCCAAACCCATCATGATGACTTATGAATATTTGATGCATCTGAAGAAAACATGTCTGTTTTCAAAGCAATTTTCCATAGAAAAAAATCATTAAATTAGTTAGATAATGCACCTAAACTGGAGAAATCTGTCCAGTTCTCCTCTCAGCTGTAGAAAATATCTGTTCCAAAATTGGCTGAGTCACTGAGCTGGATGGTGCAGTCTTGTGACGCTGCCATTTGTGTCACACTTACTCAATCACACAAAACCCATCAATTCAGCACCTTTCAGGCACACTGAATGAACTCAAAAAAGAGGGACTGTTGTCTTCTCCAGGCCCCCTTCTCAAGTTCTTCACTCTACAGAACTTCTTTCGACAAGTTTTACATTTAGGAATAGCAAGTCATTCTTGCCAAACCTCTGACCTACATTCACCGCCGCTTCAGCTTCTGGCCAGCAAATATATGCCAACAGAGATTCACCATGCAGTAAACAAATTCACAGAATGCAAGTCATACATGTTGCTTCTTGAATTGCCATCTTGTATTTCTACAGTCCAAAAAAATCAAGAGAACTTGCTAAAAACTTCTATGCTTCTCGTATACTGGCAGAATAGAAAGCTGGATAAGTTCTCCCTTTATCAGCTAACTCTAACAAAGACATTATAAATAAACCTGCAAATGTTAATGGATTTTAGAAATATATTTCTCTGAGGTACTGTGAAATGCTGCCAGAACCATAAATGTTCACAAGCAAAACATAATCTATTGGAAGACTATAAAGCTGTAATGTGACTGCTTTCAACAGAATGATGGATTTGACAAAAATCACCCTTCTAAATAAATACTTACCATAGTCATTATCGTAAAAAATAATGAATTTCTGCCAGGCATATTCTGTGACCACCCTCAAGATGACATCATTTAAGTAGACAGGGGGGCGGACAGAGAGTGTGTAGTCATCGTTGCGGTTGCTCCTGGTGAGCCCGCAGCCACTCCTTGGCGTTCCTGCCGTTGAGCGCTGGATGAAGAGGTGAGGGATGTGCATGGCATCTGCCAGTGACTGCAGGGATCCTGCTGAGGTGCAGCCAATGGAGCTGACAAGGGCTAGGATGCCTTGGTTCATCAGGTCACAGGCTGTAAGAAAACACAGCAATATTTCGAGTGAGAATGGTTCAGTGCACAGGGCCTATTTTGCTGTTGAAACACAGACACTGCAAGCTGAAACACCACAGGCTCCGTCAAGTACAATACGGATAAATCGAGTAATCCATACCTAAAATTCATCAAAATCACAAGGCTTGTCTATTCACTTCAAGGTATCTTGTGGTGAAAGTTGGAAGATTGATCTGTCTATCCTGTTCAAAAATGAATTCTCCCTTAAAAAGGGGACTCACCACTGGCACTTCTCAGAAACATTAAGAACTGATTTCGGCTATGGAATTAACATGACCACCCAAGGAGAAAAGCACTCCTCAAAGTCTAGCACAACAGTTCCATGAACAGTATACAGAGAAAGCCTGAAGAAATAACAGCTCAGGCTTGCTGTCAACTTTTGAAGACAGCTGAATAGGATTATGTACATTAACTTGTCCATGGAAAAATCTCTTGTTACTTCTTTTTCTTTCAAAGACAAACACCCCTCCCCTTCCAAAAGCTAGTCTTATAAATAGCAAAATATTTTCAAAATTCAGTGAACAGTTTATCTATATTAACTTTCCTCCCTTCCTTAAGAAAGGCATGAAGTTGACTATGAAAAAAATAACATCTTGTAACTAATGGTGGTTTTAATGAAGGCTGAGTTACAACAGACAGTCTGAAGTACAATACTAATGACATCTACGTTAATACTAAAGGTGTTTATCATGATTAATGTCAATGCAATCAGTAAATATCAAAGGAAGTAATAATTATTAGGTCTGTAATTTTGAAGGGTTATCCTGTGAAATAAAGCAGAGTCAAGTGTTTATTCTGGGTTTCTAGCAGACTGGAGAGCTCGAACGAAGAAACAACATGGACCTGTAGCATAATTCCCCAGAGCATAACTGAGGCTAAATTTTGAAACACTCAATTTGCCACTGGCAAAGTAACACAAGAAGTTAACCTGCATTTACACATGTAAATTAGGTAATGGAATGGTAAAGACTAATATGAATTTGCATATGAATATCTAATACTAAACTGTACAATTATTTATTTTTCAGGACTATTCTGCAACAGGTACAGAGAAAACCAAGAAACACTTGTGCGAATATATTCCCTTAACAATACGAAAGCATATTTGTAATGGGTTTGTTACCCTCCCTGGGAGGGAAAAGGAACTAGATAGATCACCTGATTCATATTGTGCCAATAAGGTATTCCATACCATGTTATGTCAGCTCAGATATAAAAGAGACAAGAAGGAAGTGAGGTGTCTCTCTCTCTTCTTCCGGGATGGCTGCCCTGTAGACAGTTATACCTGTCTGAGACATTGCTTCTCATGGGAAGTAGAATTTTACTGTTAGTTTCCTTTGCCTGTGTGTTCATAGTGTTATTAGTTCTTTTCCTTTTCTCTGTGTAAATATAAAACTGCCTTTCTTGGTAAATCCCAAGTTTTCATGTTTTTTTTTTTCCATCTCCCCTTTTCCCTCGGGGGGGGTGGTGGGATTTGCGCAGCCTCGGTGGACACCTGGCATTCAGCCTAGTGCCAGACCTGTTGTCTCATATAATATGGCCCTTACTCACAGTGAATAACATCTTATTTAGCAAATACTGATTGATCTCAACGGGAATATTTACAGTGTGAGGAATGGAGTTCCACACTCAGGCCCATATGGAGATTGACTTTGAAGCCAAAGGATAGCGCCAGAGGTCAAGACTGCAGAGAATCACCTTCTCCTAAAGCCAGTGTATTATTCTCATTGAGTTACAGAGATCTGGAACATGCAATGGCAGATTCCCAGGGCCTACTGATGCTGCTGCTGAGGCTCCGTCCATTGTGAACACTTCTGAATTCTCTCATGCAGTTAAATATAGGAGGGAGAGCATTCCCACAGAGAGTTTTGAAAGAGTTTTGGCTTACAGAGGTTGTTCCTCTGTATACACTCTGAACACTGCTTAGGTCTGGACTTAAGGTTAAAGGTAATATATTTTCCATAACCACAAGTATCCTTTTTCAGAAAAGTAACAAATATGATTGGTAACTGGACAAAAAAATTGTCAGAATCTCACAAGTTTCTAAAATTTGAAACATTTCAAAACAACCTTAATAGCTATTCATCTTTTATGCTGCTTGTTACAATCCTTTATCATCACTTCCCAAGAAGATAAAAGGTCTGTCAAGTTAAATTTTTAGGAAGCTGCTGAATCTCTTTCTTGATATGGTTTTCCTGTACCAAGGGCTGCAATATCTAGGTTGCACATCCCAGTGAGAATGCCACTGCTTGAGAAACAAACTATTTTTTGTTGATATATTGCTAGATATTAACAGAACTGATCTGAATAAAATTGATGTTAGATTTTGCAAAAGCCTGCTTTTAATTAAAAAAAAAATTAAGTTCTTATGGCCCTGATGCCACCTGTTCAAATAAAATATGTAGTGTGACTCTCTGATCTCTCAAACATGACTTTTACAAATAAAGCAAAGTCAAACTGCATTAGAAAAATTGTTTGAAAAATCTCTAAATTTCCAGGTACACTTTCAGTCTCGGAATACGCAGTACACTCCCTGTAATGCTGTGAAGTGGGAAACATGCTTTTTATGAAAATTGTTGTTGAAACATGAAGGAGAAGAAAACAGCATGGAACATTTAGCTCCACAGGGTCGAATGTTAATACCGGCAAACAAACTGAATAAAGGATTAAAATCTTTTCCCTTGACACTGCATCACATTTGTTACAATAGCCTCAGGACTGAAGTTGCCCGTGTGTCTCCTTCTTCCACGATATGCTTATGAGAATCATGTGTGCTGTATTGGGGCAATAGGCATTTAATTATGCTCACAAAAGACCTTACTCCTGTACACTTAGAGACTATTTAATACACAGAGATTTAGCTGCTGGAGAAAGGACTGATATCTCAGAGGTTTTTCTAGAAAATGAGTGTGTGAGTTGAGAGTTCACCTCTGAGCCAGACTGACTGGATTATTCTTTGAATAAAAATATAATTACTACACTATATACACATTCAAAGTAAAGCCTATACAATATGTCAAACTATCATGTACAATATTCATATATTCCTCAGCCAAGTAGCTTTTGTCATCTCCAGCAGAAGAGTTGATTGATAAAACCCATAAGACTTTGAACTGCATGTTTTTTTAAGCCTTTTCTCCCCTCACTAACAAAAGCTTTATTAAATCTTTTTCCTAGTGATCCAAATCTTTCAACTGTATCTTATCAATTAACTAAAAGCCATAACTCAAACATATTTGAAATTCTGGTTGCATTCCTCTCTTGAGCTTGAAATACACAAGTTCTGTTTCGCCCCATCTGTGTTAAGAAACTCACATACTCACATATACACAGACATATATATATATGTATATACTGAAATGCTATCTTGGCATTCAAACCTCTGTTGCAATTTAATTTACAATGACCTCCTTAGAGGCTGTATTTCCAAGCTGGTATTTAGTCTACTGCCAGTATGACCAAGGAGTATTATTTTGCTATCAACTAAAGAAATAAAAAGATTGCTGTGTCTGTAAAGTCCTCAGCCATGACAGTAAAAATGCCAAAATCAAATGGATTTGTACACAGTCCTATTTCAAATTTAACAAATAAAGATCAGAATATTAGTAAAGTGTTTATAAAATACTGATTCTTACTATAAGTTATATTTAAACATATGCTGTCCAGATATTAATTCATCCTCTTAAGCACCAGATAGCAGATGCTATTGACAATTGCATCTTCACCAATTAAAGGAATAAAACTGATCCCAGAATTTTGCACATTGCTTAGAGAGAATATCAAGAGTGCCTATGAACTAAGATAATTTAAAATGTTTCTCCATTGCATATATACATAGCACATACAGCACATGCTGGCATGCACTAGGCATCATGTTTAACTCTTCAGCTTATCTTGTTTTTTTCGAAATGCAGTTACTGAATTTTCAACACTGGTGGGCCAATCGCCAGTAACAAAAAAAGCAATCTTTTAGAGTAAAATCTCTTGTTAGTTTGGCAGGCATTTAAAGAAAATAAAAAACGTAATTTTGTGTTTAGTATGCTATTTTTTTTAAATAAAGAGCACAGCCAATGCAATTTGAAATAAATAATTTATATCTAGGCTATCAGCTTCTACAAGCACTTCCAGCAAAGCAGAATTTAAATGGCTATGGTTACAAATGTGTGCTTAAAATGAGTTCTCTGTAAAATGGAAACAATGGTAGGTCCTTAAATAACTATTAGCTGTTATAATTTAGAAAGAAAAGAAAAAAAATCTCTAAATACGAGCAAATTAAAAACAGATGTAGGAATAAATAAGAAACATCAAAAAACTGAGCTACTGAGAATTAATTATTGCTATGAAAATGAGAATTTTCTTACTTATTCTCCCTTATTTTTCCTGAGACTAAGTCATAACACACCACGCTCATATACCACAAATTGACAAGCCAAACAAAAAAAAAAAATAGTATAAAATCTCTGGAGACTTCTATAGCAGTCCAACTTTTTTCCCACTTAAACTGCTGGTTAAACAAAGTCAGATTAACTCTTAACATTATGTTTTTTGAAAATGCTAAATGCTGTGCATAAAGAGTGAGTAGGATCTCTTTAAACAATCAAAGATGTCATCTACGGTCCTTTTCATCTTCTATAATTTAAAAACTACCAGCCTCCTTCCCAGAATTGTAGTGTTGTTTGACTGAGATGATGTTGAGTGAACAGAAATTTGATCTACACCCTGCTCCCAGAATTGTGGTCCCATGGGCTTGACTTGTACACCCCAATGTCATTTCCCTGGATGTCCTCTTCAAAGCAGACATAATTTCAATCTCACTGCTCCTGGATGTTTTCCACATATTATCCACATACAGTAATGCTTCAAAGCTATTTATCTGAATGTGAAACTGGGAGAGAAAACCTCTCCTGACTGATATCTCTGGTTTGGGACGGAGAATGATGAATTATAAACAGTTTGTTTCC